GCTTGCTTCACCTTCAAAAATGTAAAAAAAAATCAGGAACAATTTATTCCGATACTTATTCACTGTCTCCTGACCATCCTTTTAAAAATTACAACCCCTCCAAAAAAATAAATTAAAAAATTACGACCCCTTCCCCTTCACTCAGTCTCCCCTGCCCCACAGCACTTCTCAACTCCTAACAATGTTTTTTATGTCTATTATTTAGTATCGGCCTCCCCCTGCAAAACCTAAGTCCCGTGAGGGCCAGGTTCTTTGCTTTATTCATTAATATAACCCCAACTCCTACAGCAGTGGCAGTCATACCTAGTAGATCCTTAATAAATATTTGCTGAACGAACTGAATGAAGGCCGGGCCTGTCTCCAGAACCCATTTCATGCCTACTTGTGTCTATTCTCACCCACTATTCCTTAACAATCTCCTAATTCCTGCCCACTTCCTCCTTTATGCACCCACAGAATCTTGTACTTGCTTTTACAGTGATTTGCAATTATCTGTTTACATGTCTATTTCCACTATTAGTTTATAAGCAACTTGAGGGCAGGGACTGGGTCATTCTGGTAATCTCTCCAGCACAAGGCCTGGTGCTCAAAACTTTTTTTAAGTACAAGGGAATGGATATGATCTAATTTACTTCCTACCTCTGCCCATCCCACCTAGGGCTCCAACATCTGTCTTTATGCAATGAGCTACATGGCCTCCATTCACTACCAATCCTGCTATCCTGAGAACCCACAATATACCAAGCTGCGACTCTACCCACGGCTGAATGCTGGGTCAAAAAAGAGCAAAAAGATTTAAGATTATAGTCACCACCCTAAAAGAGTTTATGGTACAGTGCAGTGAAATAGGCCATGAACTCCAGAAACTCATACAGTGTAGAAGGTTAAGTTCCAGTGGAAGCAGGGAAATCGTAATTTGCCCAAGGGCACACAGCAAGTTAGTGGCAGAACTGGGAGCCATGCCCATCACTCCAAAGCCAGTGCTTTTAAGCACTACACCAGTATCGGAGAAAGAGGGAAGGAAGAAAGGAAAGAAGGAACAGTGCCACGGTAGTTCTGATGACACAGGCATATCTCCCTGAAGAGCTCAGAGATGAGCAGCTTGACGGAAAAGGTGGTCTTTGAGCTACGACTTGCAGGATGGGTGAGCAACATTGGGACTTACCGAGATGGGGAGCCCACCATCTACTGAGAAGACAGTGGCAGGTAAAGTAAAGAGGCTCTTACATATTACATTTCAGAGATTTCAGAGGAGAAAGGGGCCCATGGGGCTTGTCTTCCCAGGAGGCTCAGAGGTACAGGGAGGACCAAAGGTGGAAGGGACTGAGGCAGTGGTAAAGGAGCCAAGTCTAAGAAGTTAGCGCCAAGAAGGTGGGGTTGTTGATCACTGATGCTGAAGGCCAAAGGCCTGGGTTAGAGGGAAGAGGCCAAGCTGGAAAGAGGTCTGAAGGGCCTTAGTTCGGGGTCTTTGGGATCAAGTCGAGAGCTGGCGGGGGAGGAAGGGGAGAGAGGAGCTTGGAAAGATCAGGGAAACTGTGTTAAAGAACTGGGAATTGTACAGGGGGGGTGGATAAGGGGTGAGAGATAGAGAAGGACCAAAAGAGTCAGAGGGTCCGAGGAGACTGGTCAGGGGACCCGGCCCAAGAGGCCGGGTCGTGTGCAGCGGGGCGGAGTCTGAGGGCACGAGCGTTGTAGAGCACAGGAGCTGGGTTCAGGCTTGCCGACGGGCTTGGGGCCGGAGCGGTGGGAGAAAAGAAGCTGACCCCAAATGTATGGTCAGTGGAATTGGGGCTGGACTACTCAAAGGCCAAGAGAAGGGCGGGAAGGTAGTGGTTTGGGGCCAGCAGTCTGGTCGTGCAGGCCGGGGGAAGGGGTCAGGAGTTAGGGCGGAGGGACCACAGGGGCCCGTTTGCTCCCCACTGGGTCCGGGGAGCAAAGCCACAGCCCCAACTACCCGGTGAGAGGGAAGGGGCCACGTTTAGAGTTCCCCGCGACGCCATGCGCGCGCCCCTCCCCGTCCCCCCGCAACCGCTACCCCGGGCCCGACGCCGACCAACCTAGCTCCAGCCGTACGGTCAGGGACAGCACCGCCTCGGGTGGCCGGGGGAAGGAGTCGGAACCGGAACCCTGAAAGGATCCGCCCTGCCCCTCCAGGACTGGTTCCTGAGGGTTGCCCTTCCTTGCTATTGGCTATACTGGCTGCCACAAGGCAAGAAACTCGGGCAGGGCCGCCAGTAAGCTTTGGCCTCGGGCGTGGCCTGCTGGGAGTTGTAGTCCTGTGGAAGATGGTAGCCGCAGAGAAGAAATTTGAGTTTAGAATTTAGTGGTGGAGACTGGATTCCCTCTAAGGTCGTCGGATTTCCTTCTGCGCTCTGGCGTTAAAAGCCCAACGTTCAGGGCCACCGGTCTGGGAAGTTGTAGAATTTGTAGAGCTAACTAACCTACATGACCTCCAAGGGGTCATGAATTCAGAGCTGCTTGTTTACTGTGAGCTGGCGACCGTTGATGGTCCTGTAGACACCCCGCGAAGCCAGAGTCCCGCGCCTCACTGGTGGTAATTTAAAGCCAAAGGATTGTGCAACTGGAAGGGAGTCTATTTATTTATATTGATGTATAGTTGATTTACAATACTGTGTTAGTTTCAGGTGTACAGCATAGTGATTTGGGGTAGTTGTTTGCAGATTATATTCCATTATATAGGTTATTACAAGATATTGTGTATAATTCCCCGTATGATATAGTAAATCCCTGTTGCTTATCTATTTTTTGGATACTAGTTTGTATCTGTTAATCCTATACTCCTAATTTGTCCCTCCCCCTGGAAGGGAGTTCAAAGATCAACTAATCCAATACATTTGTCAGAGAAGCTAAATGTTCTCTGTCCAAGGAACCACCTCTGGTTTCCCAAAGCCCCTGCGCAGGGTTTTTTCTGAGTGCCGTTTAATTAAACCTGACTGTAGTTCGTCAGTTCAGACACAAGACCACTAAGGCACATCCAGGATTAGGATTTTTTTTTCAGGTTTAACTTAAAAAAAAAAGTCTAATTAATCAAATATGTATGCTAAAATTCTACACGCCTCTCATATCTTCAAGGTATTTCAGTGCAAAGAGAAAACGGTATTGTCTTCAGAGCTAGATACACTAGATTTATGCTCCCAGTTCTACTACCTAGCCATTTAGAGCATTATTTCCTTATTGTAAGGATTAAATGAGTCAGGACTTCCCTGCTGGTCCAGTGGTTAAGACTCCACGCTTCAGCTGCAGGAGGCATGGGTTCGATCCCTGGTCTGGCCTGCATGGAGTGCACTGCAGCCCCCCAAAAAAAGAAGAAGAAGAAAAAGAGTTAACATATGTAATGCTTCTGCCTCCGTAAATGTCAGTTCTCTTTCCTGCTGGTAAGTTTCCTTGGGTGCAGCCAATGTGAATAATGTGAATTAGTTTTAAGACTGGGATATTCACAAAAGTATGTTTGAAATTTAATATGGATGAGTGAAATGTAAATACCCCATACACGCTATTACTTTATAAACTGATATAAATGAAATACTGAGAAGGCAGACGCAGAAATAAAGCTGTGGCTTTATTTTTAACTGTGGTTAAAGCTTGCATGGGTGCAATCAGGCTGTTCAAAACCAATCCCATAAGGTGCTCTTCTCTTACCAGCCCAAAGCCTTTCCCCACAACTTCTCGTTCACAATGAAAATAAAAGCATGCCAAACAATGAATAACAAACTTTTATTTAAGGACTGTACAAAAGCAAACAAAATATTCCATTCAGGAGCTGTGATGGTTAATTTTACTGGGCCATAGGGTGCCCAGATATTTGGTCAAACATTATTCTGAGTATTTCCTTTAGGGGTTTTTAGATGAGATTAACATTTAAATCGGTAGATTGAATAAAGCAAATTGCTCTCCCTAATGTGGGTGGGCCTGATCCAATCAGTTGAAGGACTAATGGAACCAAATAGCTGACCACCCCCCAAGTAAGAAAGAATTCTTCCTGCCTGACAGCCTTCAGACTGAGTCATCAACCTTTTTCCTACTTTAGACTCAAACTGAAATATTGGTTTTTGGGTCTTAAGCCTGTCAGCCTTTAAACAGGAATTACACCATGGGATCTCCTGGGTCTTGGGCCTTCAGACTTGGATGGGAACTAAACCATTGGCTCACCTGGGCCTCCAACTTGCTGACTAACCCTGCAGATCTTGGGACTTGTCAGCCTCCATAATGGTGTGAACAAATTCCTTATAATAAATAAATATATATATTCTTCCTGCTGTGTGTGTGTATGTGTGTGCGTGTGTGTGCGTCTGTATACACACATATAAAATATATATTCTGGGGCTTCCCTGGTGGCGCAGTGGTTGAGAGCCCGCCTGCCGATTCAGGGGACACGGGTTCGTGCCCCAGTCCAGGAAGATCCCACATGCCGCGGAGCGGCTGGGCCCGTGAGCCATGGCTGCTGAGCCTGCGCGTCCGGAGCCTGTGCTCCACAACGGGAGAGGCCACAACAGTGAGGGGCCCGCGTACCGCAAAAAAAATAAAATAAAATACATATTCTGTTTCTCTGGAGAACCCTAATACATGCACTAAGAGAACTTCTGACAGACACATAGAGCCACTTTCTGTTGGGCAGAACTGTGCACCCATCTGCAAACTGATAGCCAACATCACCACAGAGAGGTCAGATCACATATGTGGTGTGACTTGAGAGTGATTAGGGTTCTTTCTGAAACCCACACCAAAAAAGCAAGTTCATTATTTTATCCTCACACCTGATCTACCAACTTCCTATGTGAGATCAATACTCTCTGATCTAAGAGGCTGTTTGCTCCACAAATAGTCAAGTTTTCCAATATTATGGTCTTATAGAACAAAAGCTTCTGCGCTGGTGGTTAAAACTGCCACTTTTTCTAGCTGGGCCTCTCTGAATCCCAGAGGGGATTCAAAAAGGCCAGTGCAACAGATGGCCTAACCCACTGCTGCCTTTTCAAGGCCAGACACAGCTGAGCTGCTCTGTTTGAAGCCATACCTCCCAGCTTCCTCCTGAGGTTTTTCAGGATTACGGCTACCACGTTTAAAGTCCCCATACCTGGTTATCACCAAGTTAGCTTTGAAAACATGTACATTAGCACTGAATGTCACCAAACTGTGCTGTAAACAGGATCAAGGAAATAGAAAAGGGTGGCTTTTTTTTTTTTTAATTCCCCTTGCCTTCTGCCCTATATTCCAGAAGAAAGAAGGAAGAGTGTGTGATCCAAAACATGTTTACTTTTAAAAAGCTGGCTATGGGGGCTAGAGGCCTGAACAGAGAAAAGGAGAAAAGCAGTTCTTGACAGGATAAGTAAGAAGTCACTGGTCATCATAACTTCATGACTACAAGCCTGAGTGCAGGATGAGGCAGGATGAAGTGCTTTTAAACAGCCCCTCGAGTAAAGAGCCCCTGTATCTCAGTGACACACATTCAACACCACCACCTAAACCTAATCTGATTGTTCATTTGGTTTTCCTCCCATCTTTTTGGGTTTTTTTTTTTTTTTTTGCTCATACCACACGGCTTGCGGGATCTTAGTTCCCCAACCAGGGATTGAACCTGGGCCCTCAGCAGTGAAAGCACGGAGTCCTAACCACTGGACCGCCAGGGAATTCCCATCATTTGGTTTTCAAGAATTCTTCCAGGGCAATGTAAACTTCAAGTCCCCAGAAGGAAGACACGGTTTAGAACTGAGCCCTGGGAGAAAGTTGGTACAAGAGAAACCACAAAGGGGCCTGGGGGAAAGGAGGAGAGACGGTCCAGAATCAGGTGGTTAGGCCAAGAGACTGAAATCCAGGGCACTGGGCTGGAGCATCTGGGGAGAAGGTGATGAGGCTCATCCCTAAAAAGAAGGAACCTTGAGCCCCTGCAGGGCTGGGCCAATGTCAGAGGGCCAGGACAGGATCATATCTGTGAGTGGGAGGAGCTCTTGTGCCTGAGCGGGGAGCAGAAGAGGGTCCACCTGCAGGGCCACGTCTCCATTAGCAAGACCTTTTTCTTCTGGCTTGGGGACAGTTGATTCTTCCGGTTTTTGGAGTTTAGAACAGATGATTAGAGGTGCCATGTTTTTCCCTCCATCATGAAGGCAAGGTTCAAAGAAAGGGCGAAGGGGGCCAGAGAAACTGTGGGTGAAAGTAAAGATGTGGGACTGGTTGGTCACGTTGTAGAAGGAAATGACTCCTGCTTCATAGTCCAGAAAAATCCCCACACACCGCGGGGGCTCTTTCAGGCAGAAGGAGGTCTGCGGGGATGTTAGGGCCTCGTACTCATTCTTGCGATTCTGTCGCAGGAGCCAGTGTCCATTGGCGGGCGAGGCGGTGACCTTCCCCTTCCTGCTCACCGACTCACTACACACCCCCAGGGCCCATTTGCTCTTGTCTGCCACAGACACCTCCCAGTAGTGACAGCCAGCTATGAAGTACTCAGAGCCCAGGACACTGACGACGAAGTCAAATCGCTGGGGGTTGTTGGGCACAGGCTGCCTTGTGTCTCCAAGCTTCACACACCTGCGGTCCTCAGACAGGATGAGTTTGGGATGCGCTGTGTCTGGGTCCAGGGTCACAGTCACTGCAGAGAGTCACAGAGATGTGAGGTTTGAGACGGCTAGGTCTCAAGGGATCTTTGAGTAGCTTTGGAGGGAATAATCATCCCTAGGTCTGCAACCACTGTCATCGGCCCATTTTAGTTTATGGTGCCCTCACCTTCACATGTCCTGGAACTAAAGAAAACTGTCTTCCAGTCTCCTAGATCTGCTGGTGGTCTACCAAGTAAAAGAGGAAATGTTTCTCACCCATCTGTGAAGCTGCCTTAATCCTTAGGAAATATGCCTTTGTCTTTGCTGGTCCAAAGGAATCTAATGCATGATAATAAACGGGCTTTGATGTTAGACCCTGTAGCTAGATAGCATGTTTTGAGTCCCAGCTCTGCCACAAGCTAGTTATGTGACCCTGGGCTTGTTATTCACCTCAAAACCTTAGTTTCTTCATCTGTAAAGAAGGAATAATAGCACCACTGAATAATATGCTGGAGAAGCTGTTGTGCAGATCTGATGAGCTAATGCATGAGATAGTGCCTTGTTCACACAGTGAGTGTGTGATGCTCATTTTCTTAGCTAAAATTATTGCTTATAATTATCATTTTAACATGGTAATATAGGGAGACTTCCCTGGTGGCACAGTGGTTAAGAATCTGCCTGCCAATGCAGGGGGCATGGTTGGATCCCCGGTCCAGGAAGATCCCACATGCCGCGGAGCAGCTAAGCCCGTGGGCCACAACTACTGAGCCTGCGCTCTAGAGCCCACAAGCCACAACTACTGAGCCTGTGTGCTACAACTACTGAGGCTGCAGAAAAATAAAACACTCATGCATCCAAAAAAAAAAAAAATACAATGAGGAAATTAACATGCAAATGAAAAACTCAGAAAAATATTTTGTGAAAAATAGGACAAGAGTTAATATAGAAAAAGTCCCCACAAGTCGAAAAGTAGCCAGAATAGGACAGGCGCAGACAAGCCATAAAGATAAAATACAAGTAACCAATGAACTTAAGAAAAATCTCAAAAATCATAGAAAACCCATAAGAAGAGTAAACCAATTATTTACCAGTGTTCTAAAAGAAGGGAGACTTTCTGAATTAAAGATTTTTAAAATTTGATAAGCAGATAAACAGATTTGACTTAATTTTTTTTTTAATTACAGTCTGCCCTCCAAAGGAACAGAGCAATGGGCTCTGAAATGTGGCTCCATTAAACTGGTGCAACTTACCAAAGTGTAGCCGGGCCCTTCTCCAGCCTAAAAGACAGAAAAAGGGATTGTTAAAGTAATGGAGAAATGGAGACCTCCTGGTGCAGTTGGAGTGGGGGAAGGTAGAGTGGGGGGACAGGGAGAGTGCACCTCACCTGAGTTTGCTGCAGCTCTCTTTAACTCTACAAAAGAAGAAACAAGGGGAGTGAGCTTTCACTGGAAACATAGAATCAACATAAGTTGGTATAGAAGTTATAAGAACAGGGGAACTTACTCAGTTCATGCCGGAGTTTCTCTAAAGAATAACAATTTGACAAATCAGAATGAGGGCTTGTACATGCCTGTGATGCTCCAGTCCCATCCCAACCGCATTCCCAGAGCAGATCCCCACTAGCAATACCCTGAACTTTCCCCATGACAGTGTTTCCAACAGCAATGGCTCCCAGCCATGGTCCTGGGGTCCCCAGAGATACTGCAGAGGGTCAGTGAGTCCCTATGGGAGCCAAACCTGACTTGCAGATTGAATCAACAACACATCTCACACATGTGAGTGATGGCAACATAAACGTATGTAGATGTTGTGGGAGAAGAATAAAATATAAGTTCATTTAAAACTATTACTAATTTCCATTAGATTTGCTTATGCGTGTTTTCTCAATGTAAAATCAAATAGACATATCACGTGTCTGAGGATTTGGGGTTGTTGTTGTTATGAAGAGGGTCTCATACATGAACAGGTGGAGAAGCACTGTTCCACATATTCGGTTGAATGAGGATCCATCTACCTTGGATCCCACCGAAGGCAACGTCATGCCTGAGTGATAGAAGTGTCTCCCAGATGTCTTCGCCTATGGAGGGTATCTCTCTTCTTGCTAAAACATTTCCCATTTAGTGACTACATAACAACTGTGCAGGAAAGAGGAGCACAGAATATTTGAGGAAAAAGAGGCTTTAGGGAGCCAGGAAATTCCCACCCTCATGCTTGAAGTATCCTTGCCTTGCCCCCTCTCTTCTGCCCCAGGAGGTGAATCTGAGAGTCTCATCATAAAGCAAAGATGTCAGCAGAAGGAGGTTTGTGGCACGGAAGAGGAGCAGAACTTACTGAGGGCTTTATAGAGACGTCCTAAAAAAACAGAGAAAGAGGCGCGAGTGAGCAGATCCTGTCGCTTTATCCCCAGGGCCCAGGAAGTCTCATCACTCCACCCCTATGCCCCCCAGCCCCCAAACCCCACCCCTGGCTGAAAGAATGATCACAATCCTATCAGCCCCCAATACAGTCACATCCCCCTAAGGGCAGACTGGGGAATTCACCGGTGCTGGTGCCACTTTCCAGATGACTTGGACTACCCTGACTTTGGTTCCTCTTCCCTTCCTTTTGTCTGTCTGGTTTCATTTCCGCTGTTCATATGAGTGTTTCCAATATGTTTGTAACCGAGTGTCCATGAGTGTATGCCTTGCCTCCCTTTTATAACTGTTTATAATATCTATGGTGTAAAACTAGCTGAAGGCCTACCATCGAGTTACTGATGTGGGCTGTTATTCTCTACACTAACCTCCCCCCACCCCGCTGAAGTACTGTGGAGAAACACAAATTTGGAGACCCCAGAAGGTCTGGGACATGTGCATATGCTTCTGTGCTTTGGGGGAGTACTTGCAGCCTCTCTGGAAGGGTCATCTGCCCACATTTTCCCCTTAGCACTGGTCCTGCCACAGAGTTGAAATTATACATTTGAGTTCACTGCCAGGCCCTGTGCTAAGGGCTGGGCATATGTTAGGTGTTGGGCATTGGGGCAGTGAAGCTGAATATGATATGGTCCCTAACAAGGTAACGGTTTATTTTTACCATTCCCACTACCAACAGCCTCCATTTAGTGTGTCCTGTTTTTATGATGTAGGCCCTGAATCTGCTCAACAATATGAGGTGCATATAATTATTATTCCCATTTTACAGACTGGTGGTCTGAGGCTCAGAGGGACATGGAAATTTATCCAGATTATCCAGCTGGTAAGTGGCCAAGGAGGCAGAATTCAAACCCAAGTCCCTCTGATTCCTAGTTGGAGGCCTTCCCCACTACACCACACTGTTCCTTCCCTTCTAGGACACGACGGTCATTGTGTCCCTGAGGTGTGTACCCCTATGCTTTAACTAGTCTGGAGCAGGTGTGAGGGGGGGAAGGGAGGAGATGCCGAAATCACTGCAGGTGGAGCCATTTCTGAGCCAGTGACTTGTCTTCCCAGCTAGACTTTCAGAGGGCAGAGCCCCACCTGCTTTTTGTACCTGGGATGTCTGTCTTTTACCCTCAGTGGCCCAGAGCAAACATTCAATTAATGAAGACAAAATGGCAATAAGGGAAAGGTTTCAGGCACTGTAGTAGGAGTTGTGTGGGGTTTTTTTTAAGTTGTCTCTTTTAATCCTGAAAATAATCGGGTGAAGAGATCTATTATCCCCATTTTACAGATGAGGAAACCAAAGCTCAGAGTAGTAAAGCGACTTAACCCAGCCAGCAAGTGGCAGGTCTGAGCCAGGTGCTGCTGACTCCAGAGCCTATGCCCCTCCCACTGTATCACACCACCTCTCTCAATGCAAAGATTGTATGGATCCTCCTATAATACCATTTTAATATATGTTAAAATAGTATGTGAATCTTCTTTTTAGGTTATTGGTGGGAAAGCCAATGAAGGACCCTATGAATTTTGACCCCAGGCATCCCTTTGGCCACTGCTACCAACCCTATAACCCCTTGATATTAAAAAATAAATTCCAATGGTATTAACAGAGAATATATGTGTGGGGTGTGTGTGTGGGTGTGTGTGTGTGTGTATACACGTACACCACATATATATTGTATGTATAACAACCACCAGCATTTATGTAGGAGAACAAATGTTATTTGTTCCTTACCCCTTATCCTATATATATAATTACCTTTTTCTTTTGCATGGTCTGAGAGAAGATTTTCTAGAGGAAGGAAAGTAAAAGAAAATGAGATTCTGTGACATTACCTTGAGGGTCCCTGCTTCCTATTGAGTTTATGGGCTCTTGAACCTGTCCTCCTCTATCTCCACCTCCACCTCCCTGATCCAGGCCCTCATCTCTCTCATTTGGATGCCAGAAAGAGCGGCCCAAATTGCCCCCAAATTCTGTTTCGCTCCCTCTGGTCTCCTCTCAGCAGAGCAGCCAGAGAGAGCTTTCTGGAAGCACAATTCTGGTCAGGATAGCCCATTCGCAGCTTCTCCACAGCTCCAAGGAGAAAGACGAAAACCCTTCATGGGATCTGCGAGGCCTCACATGCTGGTCCCCGCCTAACTCTGCAGCAGCACCTTCTGCCACCTTTCCCCTCACTTTTGCACCATGTTTCTTTCTCAAGCTGTTCTGCTGTGGGTGATTTCCTATTCCCTCTTCCCCCATGCCTGTCCGTCTTCCAGATCAAACATCACTGGGAACATCATCTGGAAACTCCTCTGACATCCCTGAAGTTTGGTTGGTTCCACCCAGTCACCATCTTCGCAGCCTTCAGAACTTCCTTTTGTGGCTTCTGTACACATTTATTTGTGTAATTATTTAATGCACGTATACCTCCCTGACTAGACAGAAGTTCCAAGAAGGCAAAGACCGTGTCCGCTTTCACTCACTGTTGTGTCCCCAGCATCTGGTATAGTCTGCACTGCTTAGCAGAGAATTATCAGTTATTTGTTGGGTCCCCTACCTTAGACCTACACGACTCCCCCAGGATAAAATCAAGCCATGAGCTCAGAGACAAAATCACCAAACATACTGGAAGGCGAGCTATTACAAGGTAGAGTCAGCGGAACATACTGGAAGGCAAGCTATTACAAGGTAGAGTCAGCAGAACATACTGGAAGGCAAGCTATTACAAGGTAGAGTCAGCGGAAACTGGGAACAACAGGTTTTGACACCATCACCACCGTCACCACCCAGCAGATGCTGGGATCTTCAGGTCCGGAATTTATATTAGTGGGCCCTGGGGACACAAAAATGAACAAAACAGAGAAACATACCTGCCCAATCCAGGACACTCACCTACCTCCATTGCGTGTTCATAGAGAAGCCTCTCTGGAAGGGAGAGAGAGAGAGAGAGATGTAAGCTCGGCTTAAGGAAGGGCCTTTTCTAACAGGCAGAGCTGTCCAAGGGACCACAAGCTGCCTGAGCAGGACTTTGCTCCTTGTCGCTGTGGGTGTGTGACCATTAGAAAGGACTAGAGGGTCTTCAAACCATCAGACAGGGAAAGGAGTGTTCAGTCATGTGATTTTCAAGGTCCTTGGCAACCCTGCGAGCCATGAAATGCAACCATATTAATGAGGGTTTTATCTAATGGATATGATTGGATTTCTTTTTTTTTTTTTTTAAGATGTTGGGGGTAGGAGTTTATTAATTAATTAATTTTTTTTTTTTTTTTGCTGGGTTGGGTCTTCGTTTCTGTGCGAGGGCTTTCTCTAGCTGTGGCAAGCGGGGGCCACTCTTCATCGCGGTGCCTGGGCCTCTCACTATCGCAGCCTCTCTTGTTGCGGAGCACAGGCTCCAGACACGCAGACTCAGTAGTTGTGGCTCACGGGCCTAGTTGCTCCGCGGCATGTGGGATCTTCCCAGACCAGGGCTCGAACCCGTGTCTCCCGCATTAGCAGGCAGATTCTCAACCGCTGCGCCACCAGGGAAGCCCTGGATTTCTTAATTAATTAGAAGACTGGCATCATGCCAGTCTTCTAATTAATTCACAGCTCTGCCCAGGAGATTTCTGCACTTTCTTTGATCCTCTCTTCAATGTGGGTCCCCAGAACACAGCTCTACCAGTTTTCTCCCAGACAACCTATGGATAACTGTTAAGTCTCTGTCTGCTTCCTCCCAGCCTTTTCCTAGAGAGGCTGCAGTACCAATTCCTGCCAGCCTGGGCTCCCTTACCACTTAGTTACCTTTTGACCTTCTTTGCTTCCAGATGATGTAAATGCCCACCATGATGAAAATCCCCAGGACAGGCAGGATCACAGCAAGAGCCACTGCTGATGAGGAGAACCTCCCTGGAGATGGGGCTGAAACAGAAACCACCTGTGACCACCCTCTGAGAGCTTCTCCGTGGCAAGGGCCCCACCTCGAATGGCAGGTGACTCAGGCACATCCCAACTGCCTCCATCACCTTGCGAGAGACCTCCAGCCAAGTTGGTGAGGCTCTCTGCTTCTCTCAGCGACTCAAACCCCAGATGACCCAGGAATGACTTTAAAGTGAGATGTTTATCTCTCAGGATTGGTTTCAATGGTCCCGCCTGAAGACATTGATTCAAACTCAGCATCTCAACCACAATCTCATCCTGCCCGAGACTTTGGAGAACTGGAGGTGCTTCCTCAGGAACCGCTATAGTCTTCTCATGAGCACCCACCTGCTCCCCCTTCAAATCCTCACTCTGAGATAGAACAGCAGTCAGCGAACTCTTTGCCCGAGCCCTATTAGCAGGGGCAAAACTATTTCTATGGTGTTACAGCAGCAAGCCGAACGTCTAGACAGGAGAGAAAGAAGGACGGAAGGAAGAACGAGCGAAGAAAAGAACAGCAGGAGAGGCTCTAGGACAAGTGGCGAAGAGCCTAAGCTGGATGTGAGTTCTTGCTCAGCACTGCGTGACCCCCGGAGAGAGACTGAGGCTCGCCAAGCCCGGCCTGCCCTCTGGAACATGCACCCGAGAAGAAACAAGGCCTTGGGCCAGGCCTCCTTATTCTTGGAACCCCTTTGTCAGATGTCGCAGGCAGGGAAAGAGGTACGGAAACTCTCACCTGACACACGCAAAGGCAACTGGAGGAAGACGAGTGTGATGAAGCATCTGGAGAGCCAGGAGCCTGAGGAACTTGCCATCTTCATCCAAACTAGGAGGACAGACACAGGGAGGCATCAGAAAGAGTTGGCGAGCTTGATGGGAGAAAGGGTACCACCCAGGAGGTAGGGCAGTGATGGAGGCTGCATTGGGTACACTCTGGAGTCACAGGCCAGGTATTGAATCCCAGCTCTGCTGCTTACCTCCATGTGGCCTGAGTTTCTGGGACTCAGTTTCTCCATCTTTGAAATGGGTATAATAACTGTGCCTCCTGGCAGAATCATTGTGAAGATTGAAGGAGGTAAGTGCTCAACACAGAGGCTGGCATCATGGTTAAGTCTATAAATGCCATGAGTGAGCACTGCAGGGTGACACTCTGAGTGTGACTTAGAAGGCACAGGGAGGAGTCTAGAAGAATGAGAACCTATACCCAGAGCTAGCCAGGTAAACACGGGAGGACTGGCTTCTTTTTGCATTTAGTGTCCCAGGTCAGGCTTGGGAAGTGCCTATTGCAAGCCAATCGTGGACCCACAATGTAGCCTGGAGCTCTTCCCTGACAGCTTTTCAAGTTTGACTATTGAGAAACAAGAAACCAGGGCAGTGAAGTTCCTGCATTTCATTATGAAGGCACTAATCCTACAAGTTCAGGGTCTGCAGTTAGAAAGACCTGGGTTCAAGTCTTAGCTCCACCCGTGTACTAGTTCTGTGTCCCTGGGAAAGTAGACATCTGTGGGTCTTCAGTTCTTAATGTATAAAGGGGAAACTTCTTCACAGGCAAATGTGAGGGTTCAAGGACATGATGCATGTAGAGCACTTGCCACATATGCCTATTGTTATTATTACTAAACTAAAAGAGGACGATCGTCCCTGGGAGGTGTGAGTCACTGTGTGCACTAAGCACAGGGAGACCCTAAAGGATTCCCTCCTGTACGACTCTTTCCCCTCCTACTTGCTACTGTCTGAAATTCCTTGAGCAGGAAACAAATCTTTCATGCCACCCCTGGGGTTGAAGTTCAAATGCAAATACTCGAGGAAGAGAGAAACTGTCTCTTACATTCTCTCCAAGACTTCAAATCCTTTCCAAAGAAGAGGGTTTTGGGAATTCCCTGGCAGTCCAGTGGTTAGGACTTAGCACTTTCACTGCAGAGGGGCTGGGTTCAATCCCTGGTCAGGGAACTAAGATCCCACGAGCCGCGTGGCACTGACAAAAAAAAAAAAAAAATAGAGGAGAGTTTTATGGAAGTCATAAGGCCAGATCTCTGCAGGTCTTGGAAGATGGAGAAGTGGGGCTTGGAGGAGGTGGGGCAGTCAAAGCAAGATGGGGAAACTGAGGATGGACTCAAGCTTTGAACACATTTCCAGTTCTGTTTTTCTCACAGCGAGCAGCACACTGCTTTAGGGTTGTTTTCTTTGTTCGTTGTTTTAAAATCATGATGCATGCATATAACACCCCCCCAATCCCCTGATGTTGCAAATGGCAACATAACGCTAGGACATTGTAAGGTTAGGAATACGGTTAGGATGGTTTTGTTGTTGTTGTTTGTTTGTTTGTTTGTTTTGCCTCCATCCCACCCACTTTCCTGCAGGTTACCAGCTACTTAGAAAGTGAACAAGACAAGTTAGGTAAATGAGAAAGGCTCTCTACCTTATCAATTAAGGTTGAAGGTGGAAGTAGGCAGGGCCCTGGATGTCCTGGAATTACCCCAATCCCCAAACCCTCAATGAGAAGGTATTTTTGAAACACAACCTGGAAACACAACCACGCCCAGAGTGATGTGGAGCTGCAAACTGAACAAGGGCTGCCTGAAATTTAATAAAAGGAGACCCCCAGGGCCCCATCTTCCTAGATTCAGATAGTTCATTAAGTGATTAAGAGGATGGGCTCTAGAGTCAGCCTGGGTTCAAGCCCTGGTTCTGCCATCACCTCCCTGGTGTGACCTTGGACAGACTAATTTACTCCAAGTCTCCTCTCATTCACAGATGAAGTGGAGTTAATAATAGTACCCACCTCGTAGATAGGGCTATAGTGAGCATTCATAGAAAACATGTGGTGCAATGGTCTGCACCAGATACTAAGAATAAAAAAGCAGGGCTTCCCTGGTGGTGCAGTGGTTAAGAATCCACCTGCCAATGCAGGGGACACAAGTTCGAGCCGTGGGAAGATCCCACATGCCGCGGAGCAACTAAGCCCATGCACCACAACTACTGAGCCTGTACTCTAGAGCCTGCGAGCCACAACTACTGAGCCCACACGCCACAACTACTGAAACCCACGCACCTAGAGCCTGTGCTCTGCGACAAGAGAAGCCACTGCAATGAGAAGTCCGTGCGCTTCAGGAAGAGTAGCCCTCCCCAGCCCTACTCGCCACCAGTATAGAAAGCCCGCACGTAGCAACGAAGACCCAACACAGCCAAAAATTAAAAAAAAAAAAAAGTTGGAAATAAATGAGGAATAATTAAAAACTGACAATGTGGGTTGTTAAAATACAAATAAATGTAATATATATTTCTATTTTTTAAGAAAAGCAAATGAAGTCCTTCCATCCAATTGTCACTCTGAGTAATGAGGGCAGGTGAGGTAGCTTCGGGAGGAGAGCTAGAAAGGATGACACCAGATACAGGACTTTCACTCTCCAGTCATTAGAGAAATGCAGATTAAGACCACAGTTAGATATGCTTTGTCTTCCTTCAAATTATCAAATATCAGGGGGAAAAATACCCAGAGTCAGCACACATGTGGGCAAACTGACTCCCTTGTCCATTGCTAAACTACTTTCACAAGGAAAATTTAGCAATAAGTATCAAAAGGTTTACATGTAGGCAAAAGTTTTTTAGCCGCTCCACGGCATGTGGGATCTTCCCAGACAGGGGCACGAACCCCTGCATCGGCAGGCGGACTCTCAACCACTGAGCCACCAGGGAGGCCCTAGGCAAAAGTTTTAATCCAGTAATTTCACCTCCAGAAAAGATTACTACAGAAATAAATAAAGATGTGCATGAGGATTTGATGGTGCGGATGCTCATCACAAAGTTATTTACAAAAAGAAAAAAATTGAAGACAACCTAAAAGTCCACTAAAATGGGAATGATTATTTATGGTACATTCTTGCAATGAAATACTATGCAGTATTTCATAATCACATGATAGAACAATCTTTAATAGCACTGGGAAATTTTCACTATATCCCAAACAATACATTTTTAAAACGAAGCATAGGATGATACAATTTAGGCAGAATATGCTTAGAAAAAAGGCAAAAATGTAGATATTAAGCAGTGGTTATTTCTGAGGGTGGGAGAGGGGAATGAAGGTGAGCTTTATGGTTTTTGCTGTGTATTTTCTAAATTTTCTACCTTGAACATGTATAACTGTGATTATCAGGAAACAAATATATTGAAAGAATCAGGAGGAGGATGACCAGGAAGGGAAGGAGAAAGAGGAGAAGAAACAGAGTCCACTTTGGGCAAAGGCACACACAGTCCAGGAGGCAAAGAAGCACAGCAGGAAGTGCCTCCCGAGGTCCAAAATCAGAAGCCACAGCCACAGTTGCTTTACAGTATCTCTTCTCAGAGCTTTGAGTGGGAAATTAAGTGCTGCCAAATCTTTCATTTCCTATTTTCTTACATGGTTGTAATAACCCTCTATCTGGTCACCATACTGATCTCCAGATCTATTCTTCTCATCTGGTTGGCCAGGATGGCCTTCTTGCATCATGTCCTCAGTTAACTTATATTATAATATATCAATATTATAACAATCAACATTGTGTTACTGTAAGATTGAATTAATACTAAATCATAAATATATTTTTGAGTTATTAATATTGTTCTGTATCCATAATGGCTCCAATTTATTGCACCTGTAGGTACTCTACATATATTATCTTTGCTATTGACAACAACCCCGAAAAATAGGTATTACTGTCCTCATTTTACACTCAGAACAAGGCAATCTTGCACAAATCAGGGTATCATGCAAGCAAACTGACGGGATCCTTTCTGGAAGTAGGTAGAATGTAAAACATGGATAAATAGATGAGTGAATGAATGAATGCACAGCCTTGTGTCATGAGTTACAAAATGTGCAAATCACTTCCTTCCTTCTCAGTGTGGTTATCATGAAATTCCTTTATGAAGAAAGCTCCCCTAATAAATATAAAGCATCATTTCACTTCCTAAAGTTCAATGTACATGACACAAATTGGGGACCATTGATATCTTAACAATATTGAGTGTTCTGGCCAATGAACAGTTGATCTCTCTACTAATTTAGGTCTTCTTTAATTTCTTTCAGCAGTATTTTATAGTTTTCAGCATATAGATCTTGCACATCTTTTGTCAGCTTTATTCATAAGTATTTAATATTTTGATGTTATTATAAATAGTATTAAGTTATTAATTTTAATTTCTGATTTTTCATTACTAACATATAAAAATACAATTGAGTTTTGTATATTTTGTCTTATATCCCTGACCTTGTTAAACTCATTCACTAATGCTAGCATTTCTGTAGATTACATAGGATTTTCTGTATAGAAGATCACATCACCTATGAGTAAAGACAGTCTTACTTCTTCCTTTTTATTCTGAATGTCTTTTATTTCCTTATCTTTTGCCTTGTTGCCTTGGCTCCTTGCCTTGTTCCTGATCCTAGGGAAAACATTCCTTTTTCACCATTAGGTATAATGATAGCCATAAGGTTTTCATAGATACCTTTTATCAAGTTAGGAAATTCCCTTCTATTTCTAGTTTCCTGAGAGTTTTTATCAAGAATGGATGTTAACTTTATCAACTGATATGTCTGTATGTATTGAGATGATCACACAATTTTCCCCTTTTTTTATTGAAGTATAGTCGATGTACAATATTATATAAGTTTCAGTTGTACAACATAGTGATTCAAAAATTTTAAAGGTTATATTCCATTTATAGTTATTCTAAAATATTGGCTATATTGCCTTGTTGTACTATATATACTTGTAGCTAATTTATTTTATACATATGTTTTTTTTTACGTTTCTGAAAGTACTGAGTTTATTTTAAAGATTGCAT